AGGAACCCACCACTGGATGGTACTATGGATTGATAACTCATAACAATTCTGCACATGGATGCATCAGGAGGCAAGGTAAAATCCTTCTTTAAAAAATTTGCACATCTAAACCAGCACAGCGCACTACAGCCAAGCAACAGCGGTGTATTGTCACTTTGTTCTCTTCCTAAATTAGATTTCCAGGCTGCAGGAGCTGGACTGGTGGATGAATTTTACCCAAAGGAACTTTTTTCAAACCAAAATACAAAGGTGTAAAGGTATTCACTACGTCCGTGATGGCGAGCGTATGGCATGGGTGCCAGAGGTGGCATGCCCAGCCCTCTCTGTGGGCATGCGCGCCATCGCCAGCTGCTCTTCTGGTTTCCGGCATGCCCATACACGGTGGCCAGCTGGTCTTCACAGGAGCTGAAAAATGGCCTGAAAACAGCCCGAAACACTGCCAGAACCAGCCAAAAAAAACAGGCATGCGCACACCGGCCAGCTTGGTCTTCGGGTTTCCGGTGCCCCGGCGAGCACATGTGCACACATGCATGCGCATTTTGCCAAAAGAGTTCACCATCACTTCACTACGACTAGAACCCTTTGTAGTCTAAGCGGCTAAAGAAATTAAAGGGCGGATAGTAGCTTCCTTACCAAAAGAAGCTCGGGAGCATTTTCTCGAACAAAGCCAGGGAAATCTTGCAAGGGTGGGGTGGGGAAAAAGATATATTTGCAATTGCTGTTTCCAATGGACCGGATTAAATTATAATCCCTCTGGAAGCCTTTTGCGCTTAAGCCTCTTTTCAGATGTCGATAACCGTTGCTAGTACCTTCCCTCAAGGCCAGATGTGTTGGACTGCATTTCCCATCATGCCTAGTGGGCAGAGAAGATGGGAGCAAGGCTCCATTAATGGAGAGGATGCTCCAGCCACCCACCCTAGAGAGAAGATGTAGACTGGGAGCAGAGAAAAAAGGAAGGGAAGCTTAGGATTCCACCATCTGTTTCAGGCAGTGCCTTGCCTTGGTTTAATTGTTTAATTTAATTTTCTCCCTTCTCCCGCGGGTGGCCAGAGCCTGGCTGGTCCATCCCTTGTCATTGCAGCTTGGCCGAGCCCAGCCTGTTCCCTCTCTACGGCATCTCTGCTGTAGCTCCCACCACCACTGCAGCCCCGTTTCCCTCCCTCTCTCTCTCTCACTCTCTGCTGGTGGGCTCCTGTGAGTCACCCCCACGTGTGGGCTTTTGGAAGGCCACTGAGCGGGTGGCGTTTTGGGTTGCATTTTTAAAGGCAATGATGATGATGAGGAGAAGGAGGATGAGTTCATTCCCATCCTGCGGGGGCCGCTGGCCGAGTGGGCGGCAGGGGTTGAGCTTAAGCGGGTTCCTCAGCCCGGCTGTATATCCGAAGGCCGAAGAAGGGAGAGGCGAGGGAAGGGCTCTTCAGCTCCTAGGTAGCTGGGAGCAGAACAGCAGAATCGGAAAGTACAAGGGAGGAAAAAAAAATCCCACCCCAAAACCTTGAGAAAACGGATGCTCTCCTCACCTCGAGCTGTTTTGGTCCCAGATCTTCCCTTCTCCTCGTCTCCTTCTCCTCCTTATCTCCCTGTTCTCCATCTTCCTCTTAAAAACCAACCAACCAGAACAAAACCTTCTCCTGCCTTCTCCCCATCATCACCAACAGCCCCTTTCTCTCTCTCCTTCCCCAGCCGAATCGGGTTCTGCCAAGAAAAAAAGAAATCCAGCCACAAAGAGAAGGAACGAGAGAAGGAGAGAACGAGAGACGCTGGTCCATCTCCTCCGCCAGCACCGGAAGACGAGGGAGGCGAAGATGCTGTGAGCTTCAGCCAGCCATGGTGCCTCTCTTCCCCCCCAAACATGTGAGCGGCAAGAAAGAACGAAAGGAGAAGCAGGGATAAAAAGCTGCGGGAGAGAGAGAGAGAGAGAGAGAGAGGGAACGGGGAAAAAGGAAAAAGGACTGCAGTCTGGTCGTTGTTCCTCTCCTCCTCCTCCTCTTCAGCCCCTTTTTGATAGATGTGTAATACATCTGCTGTCCACTCTTCTTCATTTTCCTGAGTCTATTTTTTTAAAAAGCCAACTAGTTTTGATTTACATGCCCAGCTTGGAAGAGACCGTCTACTCTGGCCACAGACAATGAGCGATGCGTTTACTTCATGGGCAAATACCACAACTGAAGGCGTGACGGTGAGTGTGCAGAGACCAGGCCTGGGTGGGGAATGGATCCCTTTGAAGGGGGGGGGGCGCCTGCTCTCTCCTGCTCTTCCAACGTTGCCCCCCCTCCCCTTTGGCTTCTGTTCTGTTTGAAGGCCAACTCGGGAGACGCGAGGCCCCCGTAGAACGCAGAACGTGTTGGTTTGAATGCATGCTCATGTAGGTTGGAGGCCTTATACCACACACTTGTTGAACTCCTCGCCCTCCCCGTGGTGACAGATGCAGGGAATTGCTTTCATTCAAACAAGATCACTCTGAGCATGCACCAAGTGTTTTTTTCCCCCCCTCACTGCCACTCTTCTCCAATTTGACTTTGTTCTTGGTGGTCCTGGAGGAGGTTGATGGGCGTTGAAAATTTCGGGAAGGGGTGCCAGGTGGCCTGGCTTTGTATGACGTTTGGGGTTCAGGGGGAGCGCTGGGGGATTATGGTATCTGTGATCCGGTATCTTTGGGCAGGCCAGATTGGGGAAGATTTTGTTGCCTAAATGTGGAAGACCCTGAGGGGGGAAGAGCTCTGTGGTCCCAGAGTTGGCTTAAGTACCAATAGATGAGAATATTTGTAGGACTGTGGCGTCCTTGTCGCGCTCTGAGCATGGAGCTATAGCTGCCTAGCCGGTGGTGGGATCCTGCCGGTTTAACAACCGGTTCGGTGATTGAAGGCTTCTCTCTGCGCGCGGGTGCAGTTTTAACGAAACTTACCTCCCACGTTACTTCTGGGGAGTAACAGAGCTGAGGCGGGGCAATGCGCTCTGCCAGGCAGAACAGCTGAGAGGATATAGGTAAGCAAAGCCTGAACCAGTCCGAACTGGCTGAATCCCACCCCTGCTTCCAGCACTGATGATGTTACCTAGATGGGTCACGAAACATCTACAAGAAAACAACCAAGTTCAGAGAGCACCAGGGACCCCACCGTCCTCCCTTCTGCAAATCTCACTCCCTTCTAGCACTGATGATGTTACCTAGTTGGGTCATGAGCCGTGTACAAGAAAACAGCCAGGTATCGGAGAGCACCAAGGACCACCCCAATAGTTGCCTTAAGTGATGATTCCGGATTCAGCAGATATTGGGGGGGGGGCAAGGAAGGGGGATACAGGGCTTAGGGTCAGCTGTCCGAGGGGAAGGCTGAAAAAACTTGTTCGGCTGTTTAGGAGGGGACACAGCTTCCCGCCTCCCGCCCACATACACAGACGTCCAAATTGTACGCAGAAAAGTTTGCTGGAGATGGACCCTCTCCTCTCAGTGGGGGAAATCTAAAGAGTCGGGACCCTCACTTTGCTCCCTGAAAATCCTGGCCCCACTTCTGACAAGGTGGTGCAGTGGTTAGGGTGCAGTACTGCAGGCCACTTCAGCTGACTGTTATCTGCAGTTCAGTGGTTCTAATCTCACCGGCTCAGGGTTGACTCAGCCTTCCATCCTTCCGAGGTGGCTGAAATGAGACTTATATACTGCTTCATAGGGCTTTCAGCCCTCTCTAAGCGGTTTACAGAGTC